TGAGAAAAAATTGTGCTGAAAGTTTCTGCGAGAATTTTCGAAGATTTTTGAAAAAAGTGACAATTCAATCAATTTTGCGTTTTCTATCGTTAACTCCAAATTCATAACTGTTCACAGAGGCGTGCAAATAGCACCAGCTTTCACAGTTGCAGAGAGTAGGTCATAAAAGTTATGTACTGACGATTTTGGATTTTTCTGCATCGTTAGGGATTTTTTGTGACCTAACTTAAAATGACCAAAGCTTACATGGACTTATTTTTCCATTTTTATCTCTGCAGTCAGGATGAAATAGAAGCTCGGCAAGACAGTATCAGAAAACGGAAGACCTATTCTTTCTAGTAAATTTAAGTGCGGGCAAATCCGTTGAGACTTCGCGAAGTTACAATTTTTTGAAAACAAAACGACAGAACTTTCGGACCGGCCTAATATATTTCAACACGGGATCTCGGTCGCACGTCCTAATATGTCCCCGCTCATAATATTGAAAGTTTGCATGGCTCCATAGATAATTCAATGACACCTATTCATTCGAAAAATTTCGAGAATTCTTCAAAGTGAACGTATGAAAACTTTGAATTAGCACATCTGTCTGCTTTTGTGAAAAGGTATTTTTCAGCCGAGCAACTCGAAAATCGCAGCGATTCATTCTCTTCGATTACGACGCTGAGTGCTAGGGAAGACTTCGAGATCGCTATAGACAACATCAAGCGAGGCATATTTATGTTTTCTGTGGGTACATTAAACAGCGTATCTCTCTAACAAAAAAGTTGACTGACACTATTGTATTGATATTGATATTGTCAGATCTTTGCTGTCTATAGAGTGGGCGGAGCATTCTCCCAGCTACCAACTATATGAAGCATTTTGAACTTTTGCCAGCGTGGATGACCACGTTGGATATGCGATTTTTCTCTATGATTGAGCATCGCTCCATGACTATTCTCGTCATTGGAAAACACTTTACGAGTTAGCTGCCACGTCTCCTTCTACTCTATAGCTGGCAGACGAGTTATTAGGTCTTATTCTTTTATTTGTACTGGTTACCGGTTTTCTGCGAGTTACCATCCCTCTTCTTCCGCTAGCATAGTTGATGGAAGGGTGCTTACCTAATCGTGCGAGGGTTATGCAATAGTCAATTGTATCAATATTTGCGATGTCCCTACGAAAGTCAGTTGAATTTTTGTTTGCGTTCTGTCAGCAAGATTGAATTCGAACATCCGATTATTTGACACTCTATATGTTCCTCGCTTTTCTCGTACAGCATTTCTCTGAGGAGAAGGTTGGTGAATGGTGAACTAAATCCCACTTCATTATTTGATCTTTTCGAATCACTATTCTATCTTATTAGCTCGTTAGATTTTGATGTGATAGTTTTGCTGTCTCTTTGTTTTTTGATGGCCGTTGTCTCTTCATTTGTATTTTCGCACACTTCATTTCTAACTGACCATAATTTATTTATTCAGTGTCAATCGCAGATCCCTCATTTGCAGTCTAAGCGTGGACAGAGTGCTCAAGCTTCTGAACTTTCTCCACTAATGGATTCTCCATCCGATATCTCTCCGAACGCTCCGCCAGCTGGCTTCGAAAACCCGAACGAATATTTTGCCAACCTTCAGGTAATGCTTCGTAATCTATCAATATCAATGTAAATTCACAAGCTATAGGCGCCACCAGCTCCTCCGTCATCGAGCTCCACTGGCCAAGCTTCCACTGAAGGATCTGTGGATTCGAGTGGTTTTGAAAAGGTACGCTCATTAGTTCTGGTGGCAGGTGCTATCTGTGTACTTAGGTGGACCATGACGTATTGGAAGAATATGGACAACAGTTCGTAAATCAAATGCAGCAGTCTCTTTTTGGAAAATCGGCGGAGTCTGATAGCTTCGTGAGTTGAATTGTTAACATTCAAAGGGAACACACTCTCGTTTTTTGGAGGAGCGATTCAGCTGCCGTTCAGGGAGCCTTATTTTCAGTCTCCTTTCCTTTCTACTTTCTTCATCATCTTCACATATCTCGGAGTTTTTCGATCATCTTGGGCAGCTTTCTACTCTGTGTGCATTTTTTTTTTGGAAGTGCCTACCATTCCATATCGACAACGAATGTTTTTGCAACTTTCAAGCATAGGAATTCGACGAATCCTATAGTAGGATTGCATTCGAAATTGGATATTCGCAGCAAAGTCAAAAAATTTTAAGTGCATTGTACTGTCTTATTCCAAAGGACTCGGAAAAACCTCAAACCTCAAAAAGATTTTTTTTTCGAAAAGCTTTGAACAGCAGGTAGTCTACGTCGTCGTCAATTGGCTAACATTATGGGGACGGTCTTTTATGCCTTTGCTCTCCGATTCCAGAAATGTCGCTGGCGTATCGATTTTGTATTTTCCCTCTCTCCAATACATTCGTCATTATATTCTGGAAGGGACTCTATTTTGCAGTTCAGACCGAAAATATAGGTCAAAATGTTCAGTATATTTGAATCATGAAGAATCTCACTTCTTTTTTTTGTTGTCTCTATGTCTGTTGCGTTGAATCAAATTTTCTCATTGAGCGCTGAATAGCCGGCCAAGACATAGATCGTGTTCTGACTTAGCTTTACATAACTTGGAATTGGGATTCTTACGATTCAATATTTGGTTGGTAATATTGTCTTTTCGAGACGGTGATATTACATAAAAGAAATCAATCTTATTCCTCAATCCTTGGATATCTTTGAGGTCGATCTGGCTCTATATGATTTTTCTTTTCTCTTTTACTGACCTTGCTCTATACAACTTGATTTGAATTTCGCAAAAATGGCTCAGTTTTACATTTTCCTCTCTTTCTCTTTGCTGATGGCGGTGAACTCGGAGTGGGAATATTTTTTTGATAAAAGGGTGCAATTGGCCACGCCTTCAGAAAATGTTTTGAGAAGTATTTAAACATTTTACAAGCTTCATTTTGGCAGCATCAATACAGAAAAGAAGTGTGCGTGATCAGAACAGGTAATTGCTTGTCTTCACAGCTCTTGCAGACCACTTTCCAAGTCTCCTCACCTCCCGCTTGAGCCACTGACC